GAGGTATAGGAGGGTAAAAATTTCAGGAGAGATACAATTTCAGATGGGCTACAATTCCTGATGGTTAAAAGTGCGAAATTATATTTCTGAAATCCGTTGATTTTTGAAGGGTTTCTAGAAAACCTATTATACTTGGATTTATTATTTTGATACTTTGAAGGTACCACTAGAAGGAGCATCTAAAAATATGTCTGTGTCGAAGTTTTGAGTATCATCAAACAACGTTTAGAGGATATATGCGTATTGGGCTTCTAAGACATTCATAAGTTCATGGTGACTCCTAACCCAAGAGCCGGTTTTAGCATCTTTACTTACTCGAAACTAGAACTCAAATAGTGCATTGTGTAGCCACAGATGAGCTCTACAAAACTGTGTGTTCAGATTGGTAAAACAAGCGAGCTTTGGAACTAGGAGGACCAAAGTATAGAGTCGACTGTATGATCCATCCTTGCAATCAGGTATATACCCAGCAAAGCTATCCATAAGACCGTCTGAAAATTTCTAGTATAGTCTGCTCGATTCAGTTTTCTACGCTGAATCTGAATATGATCTTATATTGAGATTTTGGTTAACAAGTGGTACGTAAAAGAATGAAAACTGAACAAGAAAAAGGAAAAACGACCTTAAAATTGGACCTCAGATTTTAATGCGAGATAATTTTGGGTATGGCGCGCCCCAGCAGGCGAACTTTCAAACAGTGAATTTTGTAGCTCTACCTTGTGCGCAAGTTCTGGCAAACGTTCACGCTTGGTCACCTATCCTGTGGGACACACGGCTCAAAATACTGAAAGACATCGAAGTCGAAAAGCCGTACAAATTGATGAAAAGTCGAATTTTTCTCCGCTAGTAAGGGGCGGATGGAAGTGTTGGATATAGGGACTTGTCGCCCAAGGCGAGCTCTACAAAAGTGTATAGAGAGAATATGTCGTTTTGGTTTCTCTGGGTGCCAGTAAGTTCGGCATCGATCCCAATGACTATCATCACGCTCGACCAGTTATATTGACCCTAGATCCTATAAGCTTAGATAAAAATGGAATTTCTTATATACTATTCGACGTGCCGCGAGCTGTTCTACAAAACTGCATATTTGGTTTCTTGGTTCAAGGATGGACACCAATTCCGACAGGGTCCTTTGTCATTGTTTCTTGTATCTCATTCAGCAGCAATGATTAATGCAATTTAAAATCGATACTGTACGAGATTACATTTAGACGTTTTACTCTTGATAAAATGTATGGCACTCAGTGAACAAATAGAAATTCAATCAGATATGTCTACCTTGTGTTGGATATGGTGTTCTTGCAACGTTCGCTCCTGAAGGATTTGAATAAACGGGAGGCTGAATACCGAATACATCAGACATTTGAGCTATTAAATTAGCTAAATCGGATGAGGGCTAAAAAAGAAAAAAAAGAAGCGTAAACTGCTAATATTCACAATTATTTACGAAAAGTAACACTAGATGTTGGTATACCAACAGAGGAAACTGGTTGAAGTAGAAATATCGACTTACATGTCTCCATGATTTTAAATACGGAATAACAATATGTCCGTCAGATTCAACATTAGCTGAGGCTGCTATATACATATCGGGAGTTGGTTTCACATAACACATAGGCGGATTATTTGGGTGATCATCGGTCAACCAGATTTCTATAGGTATATTATAACGATTACCTACAACAAAGAAATGAATTAACATTATACTATATTTATGTTCTACACAACGCCTCAACACATAGATTTTCTTTATAGAATTTTAGACATTCTATGTGGTTTAGGCATTTTTGCACATGATGACCACTAAAACCGCTTTACACCGCTTTTTTTGCATTATTTTTTTATGTGAACTATGTGTAATAAAAGACTACGAGATCTGTGATCTTATGAGAAGCAAGAAACCAATGCTTTTTCTAAGATATGATTGAACGTCGGTTTATCGTAGCTCTTACCCTAGAATCTGTAGGAAAGAAAGGAAAATATTATTCCTATACAACGAATAAACTATATAAAAAAGCTGACTTTCTCTTACATACCTTTATAATTCACAGCCACTGTTCCAGCTAAACATAATAAATCTTTAAATGAACCATCATTGAAATCTGAACAAAAAAGTAATAATGTTATCAAGTTTTCAATAAAACATATGTAAAGAAGAAGTAATTAAATTGCTGTTGAACGTTGAAGAAGTACTGTTGCATTTTTAATCGGCAATTTTCATTCTGTTAAAGTTCAGTCATTATTTTATAAAAAAAATATTTTCAAAATAAATTCTATACTAGTTTTATCACTTTTCTTATTATAAAATTTTCATTGTTAAAGAAGAGAAGATTGTTCTGTTAGTATTTACAATATGGGTTAATTTTTAACAATAAACTACTGGCTGAACGTTGTATTGCTTGCAT